AGTAAATATTCTGTATAAACAGTTAGCAATTGAATTCGACAGCTCGTAGAATTAAATAAAAGCTTCTGTAATATCTGTTTCATGTATTTTAAATTTTCCAATCCAAAATGTCATTAGTTTTTTTTAATACTATAATATACAGATGGACTATACGAGATGCAAAAGTAAAAAGATCCTACAACAATTTGTAAAAGGTTTATTCTTGTAAACATACTTAGATTTTGAAACAACAAAACTAAACCAACATTATTTACAATTTATTATTAAAAACATGAGCTGCTTACCAAAGATCTTCAATAAACGCAACAACAGCTTTTTTGACATCTTGGATTGGATCAGCACAAAAATCTAGTATGTTATCCAATAAGTCTTTGCTAAACTGGGCTCTTTATGTAATATATATTCTTGAATTTTTTTTATCAAAGTCACTTTTTCAGTTGTATCAGCTAGTGATGCTTGGTTTAGCCAATCTACAACCTAACAGTAAAAATGCAAAAATATAGAAAAATGAACAAAATTGATGTAAAACATTTGTAAAAAATAACTACACACCACTGATGTGGAATTATCTGAACTCTCAATGTTTTGTTCAGAATTTTCATCATAAAACATATCAATCGCAGGACCTGACATATTGAGGTTATATTTCAAATATTTTTTTATAAAATCTAATCAAATATGCTCAAAGTAACTTAATTAAATTGTTTGAGTAGTGTATGACATAATTATCAGGTAAATATTATTTATATGCTATTATTATATGTAGTAATTAAATATATTAAAAAGTTGTTGACAAATGAGCAAATCCATTTTTGTAAGTATTACCAGATGCGAACTTGCTGCTTGTTTGTTTAGTTTGAAGAAAATGCGGTTAATTCAAATGTATTATACGACGTTACACATATTGTAATTGTAACAGATTCTTATAAAACCATTAGTTACAAAGAAAAGATTGAGCCGATTTTTTTATAATCTTAATATTAGTAAAAATAGCATTTAAACCTAGTACTTGTAATGTTCAAATTCTCTTTCAGACAATTAATTAATTTTGGTAATTTGTTCACAATTGTATCATTTAATTGATTTTGCAATTGTTGATAAATAAATAAACCTCTCGTAAAATAATAAAAAATAACAAGCTGTATTTATGAACAAAAATATATTATGTATTTCAATATAATTTCATTCATTAACAATATTGAACATGCTCTCCTAAAATTTCTTCTGTCATATTTGAAGTCAAGACCATGAGCGGTGCAGCTAAATAATTTTCATTATTATTAATAATAATCTCATAAGTATTTGGATCCAGCAAGTTGTTATCAATAATAGGTTCTTCAAAATCTCTGCATCTTTGATTATGAATTTTGGTCCTTCATCTGTGTCTGTCCTGATCTCTTCTTCACTTTCATGAGCACTCTTCATGTGCATCTTAAGCCTTAAACATAATATATTTAAAATATTATTTTGCTATGAAAGTATATTCATAACAAAGCTTCTTGATTCAAAAAAAAAATATTTTGCCATGCAAGTGAAAATTGATAACATGATTGTATACTGCTTTACAGTACAGTATAATATAACTGGTTTAATAAAAATTGTTGTATATCAAAAATCAACCTCAATATATTTGTAATTATTTATCAAATTATATCATACCTTCCAGACTGTGTATAAGAACGACCACATATATTGCATAAATACGGCCGTTCTCCAGTATGTATTACCATATGACTAATTAGAGATTGTTTAAGAGTAAAACTTGAGCCACATGATTGACATTTAAATGGTTTTATACCTATAATAAAGTTTAAATAGTATTAATAAATAAATCAGATTGTGAAAATACTATATCTTTCCTGATATGCTCATGGTGTATCAGAAGAGTTTTGAAAAAAAAAAAAGACTATATAAAAATCTTACAACATACGAACCTTGGTGTATTTTTTCATGAGAAACTAAACTTCTCTTAAAGTGAAATTTTTTATCACAATATGAACATTGTAAATGTTTTTGCTCTGAAAATATAGAAAAAATTAAAATGAAAACAACAAGTTAATGTCCTTAGAAGATTTCTTAGTTATAGAATTATATTACTTCATCTTATACCATAAATAATATAAATAATGTAATGAATTTCTAATTTTAAGATGAATAGAAAAAAATTTAGATCTATGCAAATACAAATATTTCTGGCAAATGGCACACAATAAACCAAATGGTGAAGATCAAAAATCAACTTTTTTTTTGACAAAATCTATAACATTGTCTTTAGAGAAGATAATTATATTCTATCATTATGGTTGCCAAGTAATAAAAGAATAAACTATTTACCTGAATGAGTAATTAGATGTTGTTTTAAATGAGAAGGTCTAGGAAAATTTTTGCCACATGTGTCACAAGTATATGATTTTCCATTGTGTATTGTGAGATGGGTTTGTAAAGTACTATATTGAGCAAAAGCTTTATCACAAAATGAACATTTATAAGGCCTTTCGCCAGAATGAGTTCTTGAATGCGATTGCAAATGATCCCAGCGAGAAAAACTTCTATCTTTAATATAATAAAAAAATATTACTTAAAATTAAATTAAATGTCATGAAAATGCTTTTAATCATAAATATGAAAATAAATAAATAATACTTACCACATATTGGACAAGTATGTTTAGCGTCTCCCCTATGTAATTTCATGTGGCTATCAAGAGAGTCAGAACTCGAAAGAGATTTTCCACAAGTGTAACACAAATACAGTGTTTTATCAGTATTATCAATATTATCAGTATTGAAGCAAGTTCTTTTCTTTATATGGAGTGCTCTAGCACTGCTGGAGACAAATTTTTTCAAACAATTCGAGCATTCAAATGGCTTCTCACCTAAGTGAATATTATATATGGTAATACATGTTACTTCATAATTATAATATGATAATCTAAATGATATTGAAAACCGATAGCAATAGCGTTTTCCTGATCAACAGATAATAGAACTTAAATTCTACATTTTATGAATTGCAAATGCTATAACTATTATAATATCTTCAATGCGTAAAACCGACCCTTTATGTCTTCTGGTATTTGAAACTTATTTAAATCTGAATTACAAAATAATTTCTAGAGCTATAGAGTAGTATTAAAAAGGATTCGAAATATGAATCACTTATTGAAAATTATTATTTTGTCACATATTAGTAACATTTCAATGAACACATGAATCATCACATCAAAAGCATATAAATATGAATATCAAACCTTCAAATATTCAAATAGTGATTCCACATCATATTCACCTGTATGCATTCTTTTATGTGCAGTATAAGAACTTGAATGAGCAATTTGTAAACCACAAATAGTACATAAATATGGCTTTGCAGTGAGTTCCTGGTTTTCAAGATTACCTTCTGAATGAAACCCAATATTAAGTACTTCATTATTTACCAATTTTATAAATAAATACTTACTCGTATATTCAGTTTTAGAAAAATACTTTCTTAGCTTTCTTTCAGAGTTATGAATTTTCAATCTAAATGTGTTCAAACGCTTTAATTCTCTTATACATTTTAAACAAATTTGTTGAGGTAGATCATCATCTTCTCTGTACTGAATAAAAAAAGTATGATAAGAAAAAGTGTCATTAATCCGAACTTTTATCATAATCAGTATGACTATCAAATTATTGCTGGAAGTCTATTAATATAAATTAGAACTTTCTATTATCACATTTGTTATTTTTTTTCAAATATTCATGAAAGAAAAATATCCAAGCATTACCTTTGTATTTGTAAAAGACATTAATATTTTCAATATGTCTTTGTTTGCATCTTCAAAAAGATTTTTCATATTTTCACATTGTAGCGTACATATGCGGCATATAAGTGTTAATTGGGACGTACTCTACAAACATAATTTAATTTTTTTATTAGTTATTAGATATTATTTACACATCGAAATAATAATACATGTTACTAACCTTGTTAGTTTCAAGCGTTTTGTTGTCTTGGGTGCTATTCATATTCGAGTAGTATAAAATACTGATATTCAAAATATGAAATATTCAATGATCATCTGACTAGTAGTAAGATGAGTTTAGTTAATAAATTTAATATTAATATTCAACAAGCTCATATTATTAAAAGCTCATATTTTATTATCCTGTTAATGATGACTTATTTGTTACATGTTTATGATAGTTACTTCTCAATAGATTTTTTTTATCTATTTTTCATATAAAATCTAAATTATGTTTAACTATCACCTGGTTATTAATGTTGTTTTAAGACTTTTAAGTAATCTCATTACTGTAATTACTTTTAAGTAATAATGTTTACTTATCTATGTCAGTTGTCAAATTTGATCAAAAAGAAATAGTTCTTCTCTGTTGGCGACAATGAATCCTGTAAAACCAATGTTGGTGAAACTGAATGGACTGCAGTGTTGTATCTTTATTTAATTATTCTGTGGTTTTCTGAATAAATCTATGAACTAAGATTTGTTCAAAAATATACGTCAACCGTCATCATCAAACTATCTTTTGTTAAAACGACGAATGTTTTGAGTTTTCGTCATTTATTGAAGTTACGCAAAATTTGAATTAATACTTTAATAATGGCTCAATTCAATTATTTAAATGAATTCAATAATATTATGTCACTTGACGGTGCTATAACAAAGGGACCGTTACCTAGATGGCAAAAGAAAGAACTGGATGCTTCGACCAGCAGTTCTAGCGGTAATATTTCTCGACAAAAGTTGTCCAAGAGTCAGCTGTGTAATTCTAGTAGTACAACTTCTAAAACGCCTAACAAATATAAACCTGGAGGCAGTAAGAAGACACCTTCAAAAACACCAAAGAAGTCCTCTGGCACACCGACTCCAGGTAAATTGACAAAAACACCTGGAGATGTAGGTGATCGTTTTATCCCTTCAAGGGCTAACTCCAATTTCGAACTAGGGCATTTCAAATTTAATCAACAATCTAGTCAAGAGAATGGCGAAGATCAAGTGGTTTCCAGTCGGGAATCTGAGATGCAGAGACTCGTCAATAACGCATTAGGTAATAATCCTAACCAAAGAATTTTAGCATACTCAAATAAAGCACCAGCTGCTCCTGATTCTCATCAAAATCCTCTAAAGGTGGTTTATTCACAATCACGTACACCTGCAAGTGCTAAAGCAGGTTCCAGGTACATTCCTCATGCCCCAGATAGAATATTGGATGCCCCTGAAATAATTGATGACTACTATTTAAATTTACTGGACTGGAGTCCCGATAATGTATTAGCTGTTGCACTAGGCAATCAAGTATATTTATGGCATGCTGAATTTGGCACCACGGAAGAATTGTTAGGGTATGAAGGTAATGAACATGCTTGTTCTTTAGCTTGGGTTGGTCAAGGCAATCATTTAGCTATAGGAACTTCTGAAGGTAATGTAGAGGTATGGGACTGCAATCATATGAAACGATTGCGTGTTATGAGTGGACATGGTGGTCGAGTTGGATCTTTGTCATGGAATAACTATGTTATAACTTCTGGCAGTCGCACTGGTCACATTATTCACAGTGATGTTAGACAGCGTGAACATCTTATATCCAATATTGACGCTCACGATCAGGAAGTCTGTGGATTAAAATGGTCTCCAGATGGCAGATATTTGGCATCTGGTGGAAATGATAATATTTTAAATGTATGGTCTGCTGTCAGAGGCCAATGTTATGGAGAAACTACTCCTGTACATGTTTTCAATTCACATCAAGCAGCAGTCAAAGCTATTGCATGGTGCCCTTGGCAAAATAATATTTTAGCAAGTGGAGGAGGCACTGCTGATCGTTGTATAAAAATTTGGAATGTCAATACAGGAACTAGTGTTAGCTCAACAGATACCCACAGCCAAGTTTGCGCTCTGTGTTGGGCACCGCAATATAAAGAATTAGTATCAGGGCATGGATTTACTGACAACCAGTTAATCATCTGGAAATTCCCTGCTATGACGAAACAAGCTGAATTAAGAGGGCATACTGCCAGAGTTTTGAATTTAGCGCTTTCTCCAGATGGTACAACAATCATGAGTGCTGGAGCTGATGAAACTCTAAGATTATGGAAATGCTTTGTACCAGACCCATTGAAGAAAAAGTCAGGCGTTGAAACTTCGAAACAGAGCTTAATTTTGAGACAATGCATTCGGTAATTGTTTTAACTAGCATAAGCTAAATTGTTTTTAGCATTAAATTGTATGGTATTTTATTTATATATGTAATTTTATTGTGTAGTTTAATTTTGATTTATTTTAACAAATAACTATAATATGTATACTTTTTAATGACTGAATATATAGCTTTTCTTCATTTTAATTCTTAAATTTGTTAATTAAATAGATATGTTGTATTATTAATAATGAGTGTAAATATAATAATCTATGTAATAAGAATAAATGAATCTTATATCACTAGACTGGAGTATTATATATTTCTTTAATTATCAAAAATATATCAATATATTTTAATTATTGCTTTAAGATACTGGTTTATATACATTTAATCTAAAAAAATATTCTTAATGGCATTACAATAAGTTTTAGTAAATCAATTTATTTATTGTGAGTTTTATCATAAGTATTTTTATGTTTATAGCCCTGAACATATCCGTCGTTGCTAGTTGAATCTTCGCGGCTTGCTTTGCCCTTACCTTTGCCACTTCTATCGAAACGTTGGGCATGTGTTCCAGTGTAAGTTGATGGGTCTGTTAGTCTTTGCAACGCACTCGTCACTTCAACGATCTATGTTATTTCAGAAAAGAAAACAGTTTTATTAGAAAATATCTTTTGTCCTGGAAGAATCCTGGATTTTTTTCCTGGACTCTCGACTTTTTGTATAAGCAAAATTTTTCCCAGATGGTCCCAATTTTTTGAAAAGGGTTTTATGTTCAAAATATATTTCTACTAAATTATTTACAAAATTTGAACCGAAAAACCAGTGCATATCAGAACATAGATACTCTAAAAGCGATATTATTTATTATTCGCTTATATAATTATTTGTAGTAATATTTTTTAATGATTGATGCAAAATCTTAGAGAACTAATTGCTATCTAATAATTACCCCTGAAGTAAACTTTACTCCATCATTTAAAGTTTGTTAAAACAAAACTTTTAGTATCAAGAAGAAATAATATGAAATAGTTTATTTACAGTGGCACCTGCTGCAAGTCCAGGCATACCGCTATGTTTTAATTTTGCTTTTATTTCTTTGGAATCAACATTTTTGGACTGTGCTAGATCATCTATGAACTTCAAGTAATTTTCGAAGGTCAGAGTTCGAGATCTAATTTAAAATATACGTTAGCATATTCATCATTTAAACTTTTTTTTTATTTTGGAACGATTATAACTTGAATTTTCCAAAACAAATGCCAGTGTCTGTTGTTGTTATCTCTTTACCAATAACTTTTGCTTGTTTCATCCATTTATCAGATTGAGTTAATGTTATAGTTTCTCCATTAGATCTCGTATCGCCAAATTTTGAATATGCTGCAAAGAGGTGTTGAAGTCGTGACATTTTAATGGGGCATCGTACACGGAGTTTTGGAAAATAAAATGGAAAAGAATTTAACTTGTATTGAACATCATTTTGTATTGTGGAAAACAATTGGAATTTGTTTTATATTGCAAATGATTTGATTGACATTTAAAATATAAAAGAGGAATGATTTTTTTATATTTAAAAAAAATTAAGAGAAATTAATTTTGTTATATAAATATAACAAATATATAAATTATGATGTATAACATGCTCATCAGATCATAAAAATGAACAAGTCATAATTATCTAGTCTAGCTAATTGCACACAACTATCTTTAAGGTAATTGTCAGCAATTTTTCATTGCAATTGAAGGTAGTAATCATGCAGTAATCTTATTTGAATTGAACATTTATTTATGGTACGCTATCTTGTTAATAATTCATAACAATATTTTTTCTTATATATATGCCATGATACATAATTTTTGTTCTTTGTCATTAGATGTTATTAAAAAATACAAATTTAAATATTATTATTATGCTATTATTCTTCTATGTTATTTTTATATAATTTATTTCTTAAATTATTTTATACACACAGAATTATAATATTTTTTAAAATCATAAAGTATTTCTATATTTTTATATTACTTATATATTTTGCTAACCATGGTTATAGTAAGAATAAGAACTAAAAACATTTATAGTGAGAATAATTGCAATTTTTTAATTTTCATATTTTTTTTAATTTATTTAATTTATTCATAAGAAATCCGTAATCAATAATAATAAATATTATTTCAGGCTCTTGTCAAGCAAATTATTCTTACTATAAACAATGTTTTTAGTTTTTAGATCTGAACATTTTTTTAACAATGTATTGTAAATAGAATCATTTAGTATTAATAGAGTTTAATTAACTATCATACTTTCATTTTACTATAATTTATTAGTTTTTTTCTTTTTTTAGTTTTTTTTATAATATTAAGATAACCCACTGGGGGTAACTACTAATTTGTAATCAACTTTTTACCATACACTTTTCAGCATTCTCTGCTTAATGTAATAATATATACAAATTGCAAAATAAAATTGAATTGATACATGTATAACTATCTGTAATTGCTATGTATATACTATATTTTCGGGAGAAAAGTTCAATATATGTGGTATTTGGAATTTGGATTCAATTACTTCACGCATAATGTTATATTCATGCAAAAATACATAGATAAAAGCATAGATAAAAGAAGAGTATAAATATAAGATCATAATTATTTTACATCGTCCTGAACAATTCTCAAACTCTCCATGTAACTTACATAGTCCATGGCACTTTTTCTAGAATGTTGCCTCTCTGCAGAGCCGGCTAATGATGTGGCTTGCTTGTTGCTTGTCAACTTGACAGTTCTTTGACGTTTTCAGTCTTATACATACATAGTGTAATAATGTTTTCTATTTATTTATAATCAAACTTAATTTGTCTGTCGTTAAATAATTTATTTACAGTGTTTTATCCATATTTCTTTAAATTAAAACAACTATAAATCTGTGATACAATATTTAAATATTATTTTATTATCAAGTGCAACCAGAAGGACTTAATACTAATAGTAGAAATATAATGACATTGAAAGTTTTTAATAAATAACACAGTCGCTTAATAGATTATTTCGTTATGGATCGTTCATCAGATTTAAATGATCCTTTGTCAGATTCAATGAAAGAGTGTTACGAAAACTTAATCCTTATCGATATCGGAGCGAATCTTACGAACAAAAAATATAGCCGAGACTTAGAATCGGTTATTCAAAGAGCGAAAGATGCAGGTAATATTTAATTTTTATTCTTCTTCATATTGTGATTTGGTTTTAAGTACATTTAAAAAAATAGGTGTGCAAAAAATTATGTCTACCGGCACATCTGTCCGAACAAGCAAAGAGGCTTTGCGTTTGTCAAGACTCTTTCCTGGAACAATTTACTCGACTGCAGGTAGGAAATTTAGGAAATTTATAAATTATTAGCATTATTCAGTATTTACAGTATTTTAACTATTTAGAATTATTTATACTAAGTACATTAGTTATTTGAATTTTAACAGTAGGACAGTCTTGTACACAAATATTATATAAATTACAAAAATATTTACTAAACTTATTTTTGATAATGAAAATGGAAGGTGAAAACACGTATATAATTTAAGTATGGATTGCTAGAAAATAACATATAATTAAACTCCCAAAGCTAATTATTCAGAAAACTGTGGAATGTCTGTAACAAATCAGCTGTTTTACACATAAATTTCACTTACGTAGAATTTATTCTATAATTTGTTGATTAACTATCGAAGCTCAGAGTCCAAAGGCCAATTGATTGTTTGCTATTTATTAATTTTTATTTTTTATTCTTTTTCACTACAACTATTTACATTTATTTCACATTATATAAAAAATATAAATGTGATCTAATTCAATCTAAACAAATTGTCTAATATATATTTAAAGCATTTCAATTCTTATTTGAATTGCATGGATCATCTTATAAGAAGCTTGAAAAGGTCATACGTGTCGAAATTGAAATCATCTAATTGAATTAGAGAATTTCGGGTTAGCAAAGTGGAGGGCCGAGGGCCGTTTCAAATATTGGAAATATATTTTTGTTAAAACTGTATGGAAAGTACACTGCTAATTCAATTCAAATCAATTATGATTTTTATAGGTAACAAAGATTTACTTTGATTCTTAGTAGCAACAAAATCAATATTCTAATGTGAAAAAGTCACCCTTATAAATGAAGGCATTTCAATGAGCTTCATATTATAATTTAATTATAATAATTATTAATTTAAATATAATAATTTTTATTTCATATTATATCAATTATTTTGAAATGCAATACTATAGTCCAGTCCTTTAAGCTTAAATTAGGTAAGAATTTCGGAATTCGAGATACCAAGCTGTAAGTCTGTAAATACTTGGACGCCCTAAAAGTTGTCTCAAAACCTACCATATGCAGGTTTTGAGACAACTTTTAGAGTGTCAATATACAAGTATTTACAGACTTACAACTAGTTATCTTGAATTCCGAGGTGAACTTACTATAATGGCTGGACTACTATTGAACTTTTTTTTAATTTTTTATGATTGAGGATATGTATTGAAAGTTATATAGTTATAAGTGGGTTTAAATAAAATAACTAATAACAATATATAGCTTTACAAAAGCTTTTAAAAAATATTTTGGTGTTTTATTTTAGAAAAACTGGTTTAGAAATTTTTGGAGTTGTATTCTACCCTTGAGGGGATTAGCAGTATGTAATTTTTTTTTAAGTTAAAATTCTAATTTTAATCAGAGGTATTAAGGTTTTTATAAATGTTTTGCGTATGACTACTTGGTCAAGGGTTCATATTTGTTATTAATACAAAAATGTTCGAGAAATTATTTATGATATATATATATATATATATATATATATAAATTTATATATATAATTTTAAATTAACTGCAAGTTTTATCAGTAAGTTCAAAACGACGCACTGACTGCATTAAAAAGTACGAGTACTATCCACTTTCTATCTAAATAACAAATATCTAAAATATTCTTTTTATTTTATATGTTATTTAAAATATTTTGTTTAGTTCACTAACCATATAGCTTTTATATTGATTAAACCACGAATTTCTACACAAATATCACATTGTTATTTTAAACAAAATTCCAAAGTCCATAAAGCGAATTCTTTGAAACATTGGTCTACATATTATATTTCAGTTGTTTAGTCCCTCGACAAAATTAATAATGAATATTATTATCTTTTTATCATTTAGTTTTATAGAATGTTTCCATATTTATTTTAATTTGTAAACAATAATATATTACAAATTAAAACAACTCAATTTTTAGATTTCAATATTATATAAAAGCTTGTACTTATAAATTGTACATCACTTCTTGTAAATTTGAAAAATATATAATTTTGTTTGTTTTCTTTAGTTTTTTTAGGTTTTGTTTGGAATTGCAATTGTTGTGTAAAAATTCGGCATATTTTTAAATATTTCAAAATAAAATACTTCATTTTTGAGCCTGTATAGTTGCTTTTTCTTACATAATTTTGTCACTAACCACAATTTTTAGCTATAATATTGTATAAAAATAAAAACCACAAAATGTGATGACTAACTATTCTTCATAAAACTTATTATAAACTTTTTGGAAATGTAATCGAGTATGATGACTTGATACTTATGAAGGCGTGATGATAATGATTAAGGATTTTTCGTCATATACTATTAAAAATGATTATATTTTCTGTTTTAAAAGCTCATAATTCATTTCAGTGAAAACTTTGGAATGCAGAATCGAACGGTTATATGAATATTTGTTCTAGATTTGCTAAGAAGTGCATTGTTCAATCTTATCTAGACAATAATATTTAATTATAAAAAAATCAATAAACTGCATTTCTTACTATTGAATAAAATTTATCGACTTATCAATAAGCGATTCAATGTTATATATGATATAATAATATGTGTACTTCATTGAGAATTTTTTTGAGGAATCGTTTTTATTAGTCACAGATTTGACTAATAAACTAGACATAGAATAAATAATAAATAATAATAAATAAATAATAAATAACACACATTATACTCGTACATTTTCAAAAATTTTCAACATGAGCAGAATTATTCAAAACATTTAATCAGGTTTCAAACTAAAAATAGTTAAATGAATAATTTTCAAATCATTCACTAGATATGAATATTATAGAAATCAATTGTTTTATTTGAGTTGTTGATTTAAATTTAACTATTTTAGTTTGAACTATTACTTTTTACTTGAATATAAAAAAGGTTTATGAAGGAAAATATTTGAAAGTAAATAAAATTTCAACTTATGAGTAACTATTTGAAATTATAAGAAACATTATTTAAAAATTTAAATTTAAAATTGGTTTCTACAAGTTAATGCTGCTTGCAGATAAAAATGTTGCTACATTATCTATATTATTTTATCTATTGATCTATGTTATCTATTGTTTATTTATCTATCCATATTTATTAGAGCGATTTGTATGGGTCAAAAAAGTCGCTTAGGCACACATGATTTTCGGATACTAGGGATCAGAATAAGATACTTTGCAGAAGAAACTATACCTCTTAAATGAATTTTGATGTCCCGTGCAATGACCCAAAAATAAGGTTTGAAATTTGAAAAAAAATTATTTTGATCTATTTAGAATGCCCCAATCGCTTCCAAATGTATGACCGACCCCCACTAACTTTCGAAAGCCAATTCACCTATGTCCGTGGTTCATCCCCCGAGACCTCCCCTGAGCGGTTTTTCAACATTCAACCCTTATTTTGGGTCAACGCACGGGACATCAGAATTCATTTCAGAGTTATGGTTTCTTCAGCAAAGTATCTTATTTTGATTCCTAGTATCCGAAAATCATATGTGCCTAAGTGACTTTTAAATCGACCCGCCCTAATATTTATAAATTCAACGAATTCGATATAGAAGTAATTTTGTTTTCGATCGTAGAGCCAATATCATATTTCAAGTATCAAATTAAAAAATTAATAATATTGTTCTTAATTATTACCAAAACTTTAAAGATTGCTGTATTTAATATCATTTTGAGTCTTGGGGCTATTATTGAACCGAATAGTTTTTATTTTTGTCTTTCTATTAGGTATTTTCCTTCATAATACTTATCTAAGCACTATCTAATATTAACACATTGTAACCCAATTTTTTCTTCTATCCAATTGCCAAATTTTAGGTGTGCACCCTCACGATGCTCAATCAATTGCCCAATCTCCCGAAAATTGGGATGAACTTGTGCAAATAGCAAGAAATCCGGAATGCGTTGCTATTGGAGAATGCGGATTAGATTTTGAAAAAGAATTTTCTGATCATAATGTCCAAGAAGAGATATTTCAGAAGCAATTAGAATTAGCTTGCGATTTAAATAAACCATTGTTGATACATGAACGCGGAGCTCAAGATGAGTTATTGAATATTGTATCAAAAGTTCCTAAAGACCAATTGCCTCCAGTAGTTATACATTCATTTACAGGCTCCTCGGAAGAAGCTCACAAGTATTTGGATGCTGGATTTTATCTAGGATTGACAGGTAAATTTATTTATTTTTTAAGAACTAATTTGTTTTTTTTTATTTAAAGAATTGAATTATTTTTTAGGACACATACATACAAATTACATACATACAAATTACATACATACCTAAAATCTTATGTGTAAATTGTCATAATATTTGAACTTTATTCTTTCCGTGACCTTCTAAAATAGGAAGTGACAAAAATATTTGAAATTTACCAAAATATAAATGAAAATTACCAAAATATAAATATATGCAGTATTTGCAGCAGTAGCTTTCTTTAGCTATTATAGTTCCGAATAATTTTCTAGTGTGATTTTACATCAAAATGCTAACTTTTTTTATTTTATAGTCCAAATTATCTATCTTCTGGTGACATTTAGCTCAATTATTCGTACGTAATGAATTAAGGTTGCGATTTGGTTTTTATTTACAATAGACAAACGAAATCGAGTAAAATCAAAATGAATTGTATAAAACGATAGACTCGTAAATTTATTACAATACGCTCTAGTTAACAACTATTCGCAATCCAGAAATTTCTATCCCGTTACTATTTTTTTAATCTTATTTTTATTGAGTTAATTTAATCGAGCTATTTATTGAATTAATTTTATGCGCTTATGACTCACCTGATTCATTATCTGTGTAAATATCTTAGAAATGATATATTAAATATCAATTTTTGGATTACACTGCTTTAGAAAGCATTAAGTTAATTAAATTACAAGCTGTTTATCGGTTTTCATTATTCAGTGTTATCATCCAATGTCTCAGAAAGTGAAAGTTTTCTTTTCTTATTTCAAATGATGTAATTTTTTTTTTTGAAATCTATTTTTTACTCACGTTGCATATTCTGCGTGCTTAATTTAATTTTTTTCATCAAAAACCTATGACGAACTTGTTACTTTTTGCTATTAATATATCCAGTTCCTTTGATTACTATCATTGGATTTCTATCAATATATGGAGTTCTTCTATTTGTTCTTTGATGACATCATGCAATAGGCAAATTTCTCATACCATTCTAAAATACAAATGTTTTATGGTTTTTCTTTTCTTATTCATATGCTGCTTTGTAGATCATTTTTAATTTCTCCAATTTTAACCAGATGTCAACTTGCCTTATGTAGTTCTTTTTATTTTTATAGCTTTCTTAGTTTATATCTCTGATCTGTATCAATCCAAGCTGTAAATGAGACATTTTACAAGTTTTATGAAAATTCAGAATCAGATTCTTTGTCAGTAGTGTGCTTATTATTGTAAAGGTTGCACTAACACTGCTGTGTTTCTTGTTTTTTTTTATTTATTCACCTAAAGTAACAACTATCGAAATCTATACTTGCCCAAATATTTGTGCTTTACATTTACTGACTATTACGATTAGGGTTTATACAAAAACCGACATTTCAGAAAACCGGTTTTCGAATTTTAATTTTACTAAAAAACCGGTGTTAACCGGTTTTTGATTTTTTTGCTGTAATATTCTGTAATTTATCCGCAAATTTAGTGTAATTTAGAGCAATATATGACTGAATTTATTTATTGTTCAATTTTATAGATAGTAAACAAAATTATTTTAATTTTAATTAGTCGAATTAAAAAATAATGGTTTGTATTGATTAAATAACTATGGAAATAATTATTCGTTATTCATGCATCATTTTCACATAAAAGAATGAAAATATTTTTATGAAAGTGAAAGGAAAGTTTTCGAATAAATAAAAATAATACGTTTTAAATAAAAAAACATTAAATTAAAAAAAATTAAAAATTATTAAATATATGTTGATACATATTTGTTGTTAATACAATTTTAGTTTTAAAAGCAATTAAGCTAAACTCGGGTGGTATTGTATGTTCCAAGCAATTTTAATTAATTAATTTTAAACATTGTAATTCTTTTTTTGTTTAATACAATATGATTTCAAAAAACTGACAACGTCTATCGAATTGCTACTTAGACGTGTCTTTTGTTTACTCACAAAATTTCCTGAAATAGAAATTACTCTCATACTTGCGACCAAATTATGCAATTGTTTTAAAGTCTGTTATAATAATTCTAAGTTTTTTGTTCTTTAATTTGTGGCTTCTAGAGCTTAAAACTTTTTTTTTTAGTTTGAGTAGAGGAAATTACTTCTTCAAGGAGAAGTCATGCTGATTTAAATTAATATATATACTGGCATAAAAATCTAAATTAATATATACAAAACCTTTCTGGAAACCATTGCAGACTGATAAGATATCAAATTAATTGTTGCATCGTGTATCACTAATCATCATCATCATCAAAGTCGTTTCATCAATAGTACATTGATTTGTTGGATTGTTTCACTTATGTAATATTTATTGCAATCATAAACTTACTAAATCTTTTGTTTGCAAACTTTAGTCATGGTGTAAAATTGGTTGTATAATTTAGTACCAATGCACAATACTCTTTTTATTGATTTACGGTAATTATTTTCCTATATATCAGTTTATTGAACGCTAGAATTGTGACAGTAAATAGCTATTTTAACCGATGTTTTAATACAATTTTTTAGTAATACTATTGGTGACAAGTAGAGAAAATTCATTTAGTTTTAATTTTCGGAAAATTGTCAATTTGTTACAGGTTACCTATGCAAAGACAAATCCGATACAGGTGTGAGAAGACTTCTTCAACAAGACGCAATGCCACTGAATAGATTGTTAGTTCATTCCGATTCGCCTTTTATGTTTCCCAATATAAGAGCTTCAAAGCTTCCTGAAAATATTAAAAGTTGTTTGACTGAAAGATCAAAAGCGTTTTTACATAGATATTGTACCTTCCAAAGAAATGAACCTTGTTGTCTTCCTGCCATTGCTGAAATTTTGGCAGCTTTTATGAATAAAACTCCTGAGGAGGTAGCTTTAGCGACAGCTTTTAATGCTATTAAATTATTTGGATTATCGCAATGATAGATATGTTACATTTTACAATATTTTTATTTATATGTAGATTTTGATTTCGATACGTTTAGGAGGTGGAATCCCAAAGTTTTTATAAGGAAAAATTGAATATATATGATTTTATTTCATTTTTTGATTAGTAAACTATTAACACTGCTTCTTTTTTCAGTAAATAATTATCTGTTTCTGTAAATAATTATTATTGTTTGATACTTCTATCATTTTTTGCCTAAAAGTATATAACATAATGTAAAATATATAGCAACCGATGCGAAAATATTGTGGATATATTTATTCTTTCTGAAAAAAATGATTTTTATTTGTTTCTCATTGAAAGTTTTAATTGTCACTTCATTGATTATTAGAAACTTGTATTTTTTGATGATGATTTCGAATTACGGGAATGATTCAGATTGATTTTTTAGATATGCAATTGTGAAATTTCATAAAAAAAATAACGAGTTGACTCGTTAAAATTTCTCCAAGCATATAACATGTCTCGATGCGAAGTCAATTTTTAAAATCTTTTTCATCTATTTTATTTTAATTTAATTTAATTTTAATTTAATATTTATTTTAATTTAATAGTTATTAAAAGTCATGCTTTATAACTTGTTATAGTAATTGGTGCATTATAATTTCCGTGTTTTTTGTTTTTTCTTTAAAATTATTTGTATGCACTAAAGATGAATCAAATCAGGACCTGAAACGTTTGGCAATAAAACATTTTACTTCAATAAAATAGTTTCAATTATTGGATGGACGCCCAAGAACAATTTCATTATAATATTTACCATCTCTTTATATATGTGTGTGTGTGTATAAATTGTTCGAAATACCACTATAACTATATATTTTATAACTATAATTGATATTTGCGTGCAATTACAATTTAAGGAATTAACTGAAATTCGACCCACAATATTTATCATCGAACTAAAGTTGCATTTCAATTTTTTATTTTATTTTACAAGTATTTCAGATAGATTTCACATATAAAAAAATTAGTTTGGAATCTATCTCAAAAATTAATTTTAGCATTTTGGATAATACAGCAGATTGTGCAAAATAACCAAAAGAATAACTATTTAAAAGGCTTTGGGTTTCTGACTTCATGATGTTCTTATCAATTATATATAATTTTGCAATATTAATTTAATAAAAAAAAGATAATATCACTCAAAAGATGAGTTCGATATAATATTTTATTCGTCTACAAAATTCTTTATTTTAAATGTGACAATATAATACGTAGTTAATGATAAGTTTTTAGTTATAAATTGGGAGTAAATGATTGTTAATTATTTTATTAGGAAATCTTGTGCCAACGGTAACATTTAGCGAAAGTACTGATAATTGTCATTATATATATACATATATATATATATATATATATATATATATATATATATAATTTATTTTTATATGTGCAATTTAAATAACATTATTGTATTTTTTACTATACTTGATACATGTAGCTTTTAATTTATCAAGATTTGCATTCAAATCATGATCTATAGCAATTAATATTTTATAAATTTCATTTTAAATGATTATGTTGTGATATTTAAGAAATTTTTATTGATGGCGCTGGCATTCAACTTTCAAATTTAGTTATGTAAACAATATTTATCTATTTTGATCAACTATATTATAAATTTTAATTTTTTTAATGAATGTGCTTATAAATGTGCCTTTCGGATTTTAACTACGGTTACTAGAAATACACTTTTTTCTATGAATACTTGATATAAAATAGTAAATTTATATTTTCTATCAAGATTTTCTTGATTAAATTTAACTATCTCCATTCGTGGATTTTCTTACTCCATTCGTGGATTGATTGCTGAAAATTTTAATATATCAAATTACATTAAAGTTTAGGTTTCTATTAAAGTTTTTAATATAAAATATATCTTCCAAATTTGGACAAATTATCTCATATTGGGGATCTGATAAATTTGTTATAGAAGTTAAATTAATGCAATCAAAATGTGCCTTTAAATTTTTCAATTGAAAATTTGCGTAACAAGTTATTTGTTATAAAACTATAATAATAAAGGGTAGCAATCTGTTAATTATAAGTCAAAAATATATTATATAAAAATTGATATTTATTTGTAGTATACATGTGGCAAATAAATATGCTTTTAATATAACCGCGTTTATAAATAATTAATTTTTAACTTTCCGCAGGGCAAGTTATAGCAATCGTGTAAATATCTAAAATGAATTTTTTTGTATTCCAGTTCAGAGGTTTCTGAACAATTTGGCATACCTTAAAAAAAAACGGATCCAGCCGTTTTGGAGATACGGAACAAAAATTGCAGAAAATGGAAATATTCGGTTTGTATTGACGTGAAGACTTTCTGATTAGTTTTCTGCAAAGGCAGTTCCAGCCGTTTGGAGTTGCGGAAAATAAGCAAAAAATAACAGTTATAAAGAGAATGGATCATCTAATTCAAGAAATATTTTGCTTGTTCAAATAATTCAGGCAAGTGATTCAGGCTAAAAACATTTAAAATTTCTCTATATTTTATTACAGTACGGGAAGTTTTGGCAATTTGTTTATTTTGTCTATAATAATATTTTTTATGTATTGAACAGCAATCAAAATTTAACGAGTTGTAATGACGTGGCTTTTTATATGGAAACCCAAACGGTTGTCCTATCTCTATGTGATGAAATGTTTATTAAAGTTTCTATAATAATGATTATATTTTTATTGATGTATCAATGACGAGTATACGGGTTATTTTCATATTGTTTTCTCTAGATGTTACTACTGCTTGATATCAAGCAGTCCTAGGTATTGAAACTTTTTATTCAAATCCTACAAAGCTCTCTATAAACACTATACCACGGAGAAGTCCTGTTAATATTTCTTTTTATGTTGTAATAGTGTGTATATCTATAATGATTTGTAGGTATGTATGATAAATAGTTATTTATTTAAAATTAGGCTGTTGCTTTACTGTATTTTTCACATAATTTGAGCCATTTTACTGCACGCAACAAACAAGAACAAGAAGCATCTAAATAAAAATAAAGTTTTTGTCATTCTAATAAAAGATCAGTGATATTAGCGAGCGTCCCAAATCCTTAATGTGAGCACTTGACCTTGCCTTCGAGAAATATGTGTTTTCTCATACTGTCGTTGAAGAAAACACGCTTGCGCAACCCCTTGCGAAAATTATCATTTGATTCAACGTTGCAAGCACGTAAATATGTAGACGAAAAATAACAATTTTAGCATGATTTTTATTATTTCTGTACTTATACTAAGATAATTGCAAAAAATAATATCATTGATTTAACATTTATATAACTACAACATTGTTCATTCTTTTACTACCAGGAAGGAAGAGTCAGCAAAAAATAGACTTTTTTAGATTCAGTACGTTGCGGTTTGATTAGGGAATTTTAAGTACAATCGTTAAAAATAATGTTTAATTCATAAAGTTAAAATTGTCCAAATTTTGTAAAATTCTCATTATATACATTTCTTGAATACCTTAAAATTGAATAAACTTAATTGTACAAGTTTCGTACCTATCTTGGTACTTTTACATAACAAAGAAGTTATACAAAATTTAAGTTAGTTAATATATGTAATCATCAACATCGAACCATTAGGCATAAACGAAGAGACAGCAAAAAATAGACTTTTTTAGATTTAGTACGTTGCGGTTTGATTAGGGAATTTTAGATTTTCAAGATGATAAAAAATCTGGAAGTACAATCGTTAAAAATAATGTTTAATCCATAAAGTTAAAATTGTCCAAGTTTTGTAAAATTCTCATTATATACATTTCTTGAATAGCTACAAACGAAGCTGATAACGACATTCTGGCTCGTATATTTTACACTATTAAATATATTATTTGCAATGAGAAATAATCTCTAATAATGAAGCCAATGGTAGCATATATTATAGAGCTAGATTTTATTTAAATTATTATTATCGATGTTTGGGTGACATACAAGATATGTAATTATTGGTGGTACTAGAAAATCCTTCTCAATTTTCTTTCATTTTTAAAACATTATGACAAACGTATTGCCTTTAAAAAGTACTTCAACTTTGAAAAATACTACGTGTTTCAAATTAGAATTTTTGGATATCACTCTATGTGTAGAACCAAGTACTGTACAAAATACAAAATATTTATTAAAACACAAATATTATAGGGGTGTAAATTATGTTTGGCAATATTTTTCACCCCGAATGATAATAGTCTATGGTAATTTTTAACTCATTTAAATAATTACAGTGCGTTTGTTTTATACAGGCTTTATATTCGAACATTATAGTCTATTCGAACATTGGGAACTTTTTAAGATCAATTTTCAAGATCAGATTTATTAAAGCAAAACTTTTTTAATTAATTTTTTTATATTAATGTTATGCAGTATTTTTATATTATTGATAGCTGACCCGGCAAACGTTGTTTTGCTAAGTAAGGTATATTCCAAACATTTTCTAGAGATTAAAAAAAAATGAATACTTTAAGTGTATAAGGATGTGTTGTTTGAATGCTAGAAACACCATTAGTTTGTCTACATTTTATCAATACAATCGAACTGGAAATTTTATTCATTTTCTATAGAAAACATGGTATAATCCAATCCAAGTCATTTTTGGTCTTTTGACTTATTGATTACGTTTCAAGTTTTTCAGATATACATTGGAATGAAATATTTTTGGCATCTTTAAGGTACTTAGTTTTCAACAATGTTATGAACAATAACTAACAATAAATATTATTGTGACTAGTAATTGTATAAAAAATAATAGCGATTTTTTTCCAAATTTTCTAATAATGTATAAAAAATAGTGTGATAAAAAATATAGTGGCATGTCTAGTATTGCTTTCTTAAAAAAGATAATAACGAAAACCCTTCCGAATTTTCGAATAATAAATTATAAAATAATTACAAATTCTATTTCTGACGTTTACTGATATATGCGTATAGTATAGATCTAGAATATAAAATTATAGTTGCATTGTTTCGAATAAGTAATCTATTATGAATTGAATTATTTGATGTAACTTCCATTAAAAATG